CGAGTAGCAATATTTGAAACGCTTATAGCGGTAACTATCCGAGATATCTATAGCAAATAGTACTATCTAGAACGCTTATAGCAAGTCTAATCTAAAACGCTTATAGAAAGTCTTATCTTAAATATATAAAGTAAGTCTAAGTGTAATCCGGAACTAAATACTTATATTAAGTACTATCCGGATTCCGGAAGGCTTATAGCGAGTAGTACTATCCGGAACGCTTATAGTAAATACTATCTAAAGTGCCTATAGTAAATAGTATTCGAACTGTTTATAGCGATTACCCTATAAAACGCCTATAGCGAGTACTCTATAGAATATCTATAGCGTACTGCTGTCTACAACGCCTATACTAAGTTTTATTTAGAACGCGCTATATAGTAATTCTAATCTAAAACGCTTATAGAAACTCTTATCCGGAATATATAAAGTAAGTCTAAGTCTAATCCGAAACTAAATGCTTTTATTAAGCACTATCCGGAAGGCTTATAGCGAGTAGTACTATCCGGAACGCTTATAGTAAATACTATCTAAAACGCCTATAGTTAAATAGTATTCGCACTATTTATAGCAAGTACCTTATATAACGCCTCCTACGAGTACCCTATTAAACGCCTATAGCGAGTACCCTATAGAATATCTATAGCGAGTAGTACTATCCGGAACGCTTATAGTAAATACTATCGAAAACGCCTATATTCGAACTACCTATAGCGAGTAACCTATATAACCTCTACTACGAGTATCTTATAAAACGCCTATAGTAAGCACTCTATAGAATATCTATAGCGAGTAGTACTATCCGGAACGTATAGGACCCTATAAAACGCCTATAGCGTACTACTATTTATAGCCTATACTAATTTTTATTTAGAACGCGCTATATAGTAATTCTAATCCGAAACGCTTATACTAAGTCTTATCCGAAACGCGTATAGTAAGTCTAATTCGGAACGCTAATAGTAAGTACTATTAAGAACGCTTATAGCAAGTATGTACTAAGTCTTATCCGGAACGCGTATAGTAAGTCTAACTCGGAACGCTAATAGTAAGTACTATTAAGAACGCTTATAGCAAGTAGTACTATCTAAAATACTAATAGTAAGCACTATTTAGAATACTTACAGCAAGTTATATCCGAAACGCTTATAGTAAATACTACTAAAAACGCTTATAGCGAGTAGCAATATTTGAAACGCTTATAGCGGTAACTATCCGAGGTATCTATAGCAAATAGTACTATCCGGAACGCTTATAGTAAACACTATCTAAAACGCCTATATTCGAACTACTTATAGCGAGTACCCTATATAACGCCTACTACGAGTACCTTATAAAACGCCTATAGCGAGTACTCTATAGAATACCTATAGCGAGCAGTACTACCCGGAACGCGTAGGATAAGCCTTATTTTAAACGCTTAGTATAGTTAGTCCTATATAAACCGGAACGTATATAGCAAGTCTTATCCGAAACTAAATACCTATATTAAGTACTATCCGGAAGGCTTATAGCGAGTAGTACTATCCGGAACGCTTATAGTAAATACTATCTAAAACGCCTATAGTAAATAGTATTCGAACTACCTATAGCGAGTACCCTATATAACGCCTACTACGAGTATCCTATAGGATGCCTATAGCGAGTACTCTATAGAATATCTATAATACTAAGAATAAGTCTAATTTAGAACGCTTACAATACTAAGTACTATTCGGAACGTATATAGTAAGTCTAATCCGGAGCGCTAATAGTTAGTACTACTATCTATAACGCTTATACTAAGTTTTATTTAAAACGCGCTATATAGTAATTCTAATCTAAACGCTTATACTAAGTCTTATCCGGAACGCGTATAGTAAGTCTAACTCGGAACGCTAACAGTAAGTACTATTAAGAACGCTTATAGTAAGTAGTACTATCTAAAATACCTATAATAAGTACTATTTAGAAAACTTATAGTAAGCTATATCCGATACGCTTAGCCTTACGAGTATACCGCCTCGAGTAAATATCCCCGGATTAGGCGTAAACGACTATATAGCCTCGAGTAAATACTACCGGATCGGGCGTAAAAGATATATATAGTATCGGAAATACTACTACTATAGCGGCGAAGCCTTACGATACGTACTACGACTACTATATCCTCCGAACCGGTCGCGAACTAAGGAGTTTTAACGTTCCTCGGATATAGCTAATTAGAGGCGGCTTTTAGATCGTTTTAAGCCGTACTAAGCCTAAAGTAGACCTACGGTTTGTTAAGTTATTATTATATTAGAGATAGCGTAACCGCGCAATACCGCCGCGAGCAAATACCGCCGGATTAGGCCTAAAAGTTAGATATACCCTTCCGGAATACTACTATCGCGGCGGCAACGCGTTATAATATAGACTCTGCGCAATACCGCCGCGAGCAAACACCGCCGGATAAGGTATATACAACGAAGACGCCCTTTTCGAGACTGCTATCGAAGTTATAGCTCGTCGCGGTATATACTGCGACGTCTACGCCTTTCCGGATCGTAGAGGTGTTAACGTTCCTTACGTCTACTAATTAGAGGCCGCGGTTAGCCCATTTTGAGCCGCACTAAGCCTAAAGGGGCCCCAACTTTTGTTAAGTTGTTATATTTTAGACTATCTAAAACGCCTATAGTTACTAAATAGTATTCGAACTACTTATAGCGAGTACCTTATATAACGCCTACTACGAGTACCTTATAAAACGCCTATAGCGAGTACTCTATAGAATATCTATAGCGAGTAGTACTATCCGAAACGCGTAGGCTAAGCCTTTCGAGCATACCGCCTCGAGTAAATACCGCCGGATTAGGTATAAACGACCGATATAGCATCGGAAATAATACTATCGTAGCCTTACGATATATACTATAACTCCTACAATCTCCGAACCGCTTACGAACTATATACTACGACTCCTATAATCTCCGAACCGCTCGTAAACTAAGAAATTTTAAAGTTCCTCGGCTATAGCTAAGTAGAGTCGGCTTTTAGCTTATTTTAAGCCGTAGTAAGCCTAAAGGGGCCGTAAGTACCCTATAAAACGCCTATAGCGAGTACTCTATAGAATACCTATAGCGAGTAGTACTATCCGGAACGCGTAGGACAAGCTAACTACTATCTATAACGCCTATAGAAAGTCTGATTTAGAACGTTTATAATAGTAACTTAGTAAGTACTATTCGGAACGCGTATAGCAAGTCTAATCCGGAGCGCTAATAGTTAGTACTACTATCTATAACGCTTATACTAAGTTCTATTTAGAACGCGCTATATAGCAATTCTAATCCGAAACGCCTATACTAAGTCTTATCCGAAACGCGTAGAGTAAGTACTATCCGGAACGCGTATAGTAGGTCTAATTTAGAACGGTAATAGTAAGTACTATTACGAACGCTTATAGTAAGTAGTACTTTCTAAAATACCTATAGTAAGTACTATTTAGAATACTTATAGCAAGTTATATCCGAAACGCTTATAGTGAATACTACTAAAAACGCCTATAGCGAGTAGTAATATTCGAAACGCCTATAGCGGTAACTATCTAAGATATCTATAGCGAGTAGTACTATCCGGAACGCGTAGGACAAGCCTTATTTTAAACGCTTAGTATAGTTCGTCCTATATAAACCGGAACGCGTATAGCAAGTCTAATAATCTAATCCGAAACGCCTACAGAAAGTCTTGTCCGGAATGTATAAAGTAAGTCTAAGTCTAATCCGAAACTAAATACTTATACGAAGTACTATCCGGAAGGCCTATAGCGAGTAGTACTATCCGGAACGCTTATAGCAAATACTATCTAAAACGCCTATAGTTAAATAGCATTCGAACTATCTATAGCGAGTACCCTATATAACGCCTATAGCGAGTACTCTATAGAATATCTATAGCGAGTAGTACTATCCGGAACGCGTAGGATAAGCTAACTATTATCTATAACGCCTATAATAGGTCTAATTCAGAACGCTTATAATACTAAGTACTATTCAGAACGCGTATAGTAAGTCTAATAACTCTAATCCGGAGCGCTAACAGTTAGTACTACTGTCTATAACGCCTATACTAAGTTTTATTTAGAACGCGCTATATAGCAATTCTAATCCGAAACGCTTATACTAAGTCTTATCCGGAACGCGTATAGTAAGTCTAATTCGGAACGCAAATAGCAAGTACTATTAAGAACGCTTATAGCAAGTAGTACTATCTAAAATACCTATAGTAAGTCCTATTTAGAATACTTATAGCAAGTCTAATCCGAAACGCTTATAGTAAATACTACTAAAAACGCTTATAGCGAGTAGTAATATTCGAAACGCTTATAGCGGTAACTGTCCGAGATAGCTATAGCGAGTAGTCCTATCCGAAACGCTTATAGCAAATACTATCTAAAACGCCTATAGTTAAATAGGATTCGAACTATTTATAGCGAGTACCTTATCTAACGCCTACTATAAGTACCCTATAAAACGCCTATAGCGAGTAGTACTATCCGGAACGCGTAGGATAAGCCTTTCGAGCCTACCGCTCCGAGTAAATACCGCCGGATTAGGCGTAAACGATACCGCCTCGAGCAAAAAACGCCGCCGGATTAGGCGTAAACGACGGAGACGGCCTCGGAAACACTACTATCGCGGCGCCGGAGCGTTATAGTCGATACCGCGACTCCTACGCCCTCCGGACCGCTCGAGAATCGAGAAATTTTGAAGTTCCTCGCCGCCGACCAATCAGAGTCGGCTTTTCGGTCGTTTTGAGCCGCACTAAGCCTAAAGGGGCCCCAACTTTTGTTGAGTTGTTATATTATAGATGAACCACATCCTGGAAGAAATCTTGGATAAAGGAAGCAGACACCGATAAGATTGCGAGTCTACAAAAGCACATACTGTGACATACACATGCTCGAGAGAATCTTAAGGGAGGTTGACCATATCTGTATGCCTCTCGCTCTCATCTCCTCGAGGTAGCAGACTATTACCGCTCTAACCTCTTACTCCAACGAGTCTCAGGACTTCTGGTGTGACTTCAGGCTCTCTGAAGGGCCGGAGCCTATTTGCAGGATCGAGAGTGTCATCAGGCCGTCTTGGTTTCGCATAATGATAGCCCGGTCTATCAGCTGGCACCACGTTTTGGTTTGGCCAGTGAGTAGTGCCTTTCCTGGCTTCGAAGACCTCCCTCTTACGTTGCAGCTGCTCTTCGGTCATCCTGTCTCTCGGACAATAACAGACATAGGTGATGAACCTGGTCTGATCCCCGGTCGGCGAGCAGTTCCAATGAATGGTTCGAGAATCCCACAGTATCAAGTCGCCAGCATTAGCGCAGATCTTGACTTCTTTACATCCTTGTTCCCGATACCATGCTGCATCTTCAACATCGAAATTGTACCCGTTCTCACCAACACCGAGATCTTTCTCCGGATTGAACCCGCCTATACTTTCAAAGTGCTTCTCATGAAGCCTGTGCGAACCAGACAACACGACAAGGCCACCATCATCGGGGCCATTTGGTGCTAGGTTGGCGATGCCCTGGTACAATTCGAGATTCGAAATACTTCGCGGGTCTTGGTCAATGTGCGGCCATGGCTTAGTCGTCTCGATATCTGTACGGCCAGTCTCCGGGTTGACTGGCAGAGATACATTGATGCCGTCAAAAGAGGCGATCAGGTCATCTGTACCCCACACCTTCTGAAAGACGCTCAGGATTCCTGGATCGGTGCGGATTTTCCAAACGAAAGCCTCGTGGTTGACCGAATATCTGTTGTATAGCCCTCGGTCGTGTCCGTATGGCAGATGTTCCGCAGTCCAAGTCGACCTGTCACTGCGCTTGAAGCCATTTGGAAATGATTCCAGCCATTCCCATGCGGATTCAACAAAGGCATTACAAGATTCTCTAGAAACGACTTCGGGCACGACTGCATAGCCGTCTCGCTCCAGATCAACGAGAAATTGAGGTTTAGCCATCGCCCGAACAGCTGCTGGATTATGTCTGTCAGACTTTGGTGCCTGCAGTCGTCCCTATTGGAGTCTTCAGTGTCTTCATCAGTGGAGGCAAAGGCATTACGAGGATAAGTTAGGATGGTGACATGGCGGTGAATCGATAAGCCGAGTTGCCTACTGTATGCTGTCCTTGCCGGCCATGTTGCAGCAGGGATGGACCCCCATCGACCCCCACCACACACTTCCCCTCGTCTGGTTGGTAAAGTCGCTTCCTCCATCGGACTGCATGCAACCCAAGACCTTGCAGATCATCCAGGCACAGTACTCAAGCAACAAAGCCTTAAAGCTTGCGGCAGAATGGCTGCCGAGAGGCTATTGAATAGAGCACAAGAAGCCACAGTCCTGGCACAGAAGGCTTCTCGCGACAGTCATGCAAAGGATTTGTGTCGCTTTGCGAAAAGCATGCGCTGTGAGCCTCCCGAGCTAACAAGAGGCTGTATCACTGCGGTGAGGGGATGTGCTCCCGCAATGCAACCCTGCCCTGGGTACTGGTTGCACGTCTGATAACAAGCATCTGAGGGTCGCCTTATCTATGCCATGGCAAGATTGAGTATAGCTGTATGCTACCGCTGGCGGTTGGTGTTCCCTGAAAGCATCTTGCCCACAGTCCGACATCAGCATGGCGGATCTTCCAATGGCAACGGATCACGGATCGAAGGACGACAAGGACATCCGCGAGCATGCCTTAAGTGTTACAAGCTCGAACGGTCAGGACGAAACCAAGGCTCAAGTTTCTATCGGCCAAGTCCTTGAAGTACAAGGCAATGCCGAGTTTCTATCAGCAGCGACCGCAGCGCCTCTCAATCCGGTATGCACGCAGCAGGAAGGTCTCGGTGACCTATTCACTGACTGGTGGTCACAAATGATAGTGGTCGCGCACATCTCTGCAACTGTACCTCATCCTACTCACAGCGTGCCTTAATGCTACGGCTTCCGGATTTGATGGCTCCATTTTCAGTACCATCAATGCGATGGATCAGTACAACTCATCTTTGATTTCCCCGACACCGAACCGCACTAACCTCGCGCAGATATAAAGCATACTTCCACAAACAAGAGACTGGCAGCTCCACTGGTATTATCTTCGCCATCTACACAATAGGGAGCATGGTAGGTGCGATGGCGACAGGAGCCGTGATGGATATGTTTGGTCGTCGAGCTGGCATGGGTAGTGGAGCTGTCATTATCATGGTGGGTTCAAATGATACGCTCCTCTTGCGGAATATCACTGCTGACACTTATATCTCTGATGTTCAGATAGGCGCAGTCGTGGTGACCGCAGCCAAAACGGAAGCATATCTGCTTGGCGGCCGATTTGTCCTTGGACTTGGGATCGCTTTGGGAACCTCTGCCGCACCAACATATGCGATTGAGCTTGCGCCTCCTCAGTGGCGAGCTAGGGTAACAGGGTATTACAATACTTTCTTCTACAGTGGATCAATCCTCGCTACTGGGGTGACATATGCAACGGCAAAACGCCACACATCGCTTGCTTGGAGACTACCCCTGGCCCTGCAATGCATTCCGCCACTTTTCATCCTCTTGGGGTCTTTCTTGATCCCAGAGAGCCCTCGATGGCTCTGTGCTCGTGGTCGAATTGAGGACGCTAGAAAAATCCTGGCCAAGTACCATGGCGGCGGAGATCCCGAGCATCCTGTAGTGCAACTGGAGATTCGTGAGTTTGAGGAGTCCATCAAACAGGGGAAAAATCGAAGTTGGTGGGACTGGAGAGAGCTGGTCCATACCCATAATGCTCGATGGAGACTTGCTATGGTGACCCTCATGAGCTATGGTTCTCAACTGTCGGGCAACTCGGTATAGACAAACCAAATAGCTTCGGGTGGGAGCGCATGCTTACATGATGCAGGTATTGACATATTATCTGCCCTCGATGTACAAGCAGCTAGGGATCACTTCTACCGATCGTCGACTACTATTGACTTTTGCGAACAATATTGTGAGCTGCGCTGGCGCTGTGGCTGGCTCGGCGACAAATGATCGCGTCGGACGTAGGACCAAGCTCTGGGTGGGCTCCTTCGTCCTCGCAGGACTCTTCGCTGCTGTGACCGGCTTTTCTTCGCAGTTCACGACAAAGCATGGAGCAACGGGTGCTGGAGTAACGTTGTCAAATGCTGGGTAAGTGTGCTGAGTTCCAGGCATCATGCACCATGTCTGAGACACTTGCTAACCTAGTACCCTTCGGGCTTTGTAGAGTTGCATTTGTGAGTGGCTACATATCTCAACCAAGTCCCAGCCTTGTGGACACATCTTTGCTGACCCCCAGCCAGATCTTTCTCTTCGGCTGCGTGTACTCGTTTGTCTATACGCCGCTCACAGCAACTTATTGTGCTGAAGCATTAGACAACCATACGCGAGCCACCGGCATGGGCATTCACATCATCATGAACAATACCGCGAACTTCTACAATACCTATGTCACTGCGGTCGCTCTCAAGGCAATTGCTTGGAAGTACTACCTCGTCTTCGTTGCACTCAATGTCCTCTACGGTACGTCTTGCAAGAGGATGATGCAAGTCTGATTTGCACTAACGTCATTCTCAGGCGTCTTCTGGTTTTTCTTCGGCGTCGAGACCAAAGGGAGGACGCTCGAGGAACTTCAAGAAGTCTTCGACGCGAAATGGCCGCCACGTGCTGCTCTCGAGAAGAAGAAAATGGTCAAAGCCGACGATGGACATCTTGATAAGCTGGAAGATAATCGCGTCCGCGAGGCGTGAAATGCATGGCTCGATCTCGAGTGAGCGAATCAAGTGCGCCGAGGGTCCTGAGCTCGCAGTATGTATTGGAACTTGCAGAATGTCGTGCCATACCTCGGAACGGGTTGGATGCTACTAGCCCACTGTTTCTTAGTAATTTGTTAGCTAAGACCGGGACGTATATACACACTAAGTTCTTCTCAACTAATCTCAGTTCCGTAGTAACAATTAGGGTTAAGAAGGAGGCTATTCTTAGCGCCGCTATCTATTATAAGGCTACCGGACCGTACTAGGCAACCTACTAAGAAGGTTACTAAGTCTCAAGCTTCTTAGTAACAACCTCGCCGTCGCTATTAACGTCGTCGTCGTTAAACCTCTACGAAGCTAGAGCCGGAGCCTACTATAACTAAAGACGACGCCCTTCTCGATACTACTAATAGTAGCTAAGCTACTAAGAGTGCCGCTAGAGCGGACGAAGAAGATTATATAGAAGGAGCTAAAGAAGATAAAGACGTAGAGGCAGAGCGAGAGATATACGACTTCTCGCTATAATAGACGATCGTATACGATAGAGATATACTTACTAATAAGCCGTAGAAAGTGTCTATTAAATACGATAGTAATAAGCATAAAAGCCTATTTATCGAATAGAAAGCTAAGTAATACGAGCGTATTAGAAGAGCCGAGAGGTACGTAGAAGGGCTCCGTTTCGAGACTATTACGAAGGCTAAGCGTTATCTAACGCACCTCGAGACTAATATATTAACTAGCTATATTCGAAGGGCTCTAGAACAGATAGAAGATTAGCACAAGGCAGGTAAGAAGGGTCTCCTTCTTTAGCTAAAGATTATCCTCGAGAAGAAGCCTCCTACGCCGAAGATACCTATAACTACCGTAGAGCCTTCTTAAGGCCGCTAGCAACGGAATACTACGACTTAACAAGCAATCCGTAAGCTTTAAGACTCTTAACGAGCCGCTAGAATAGACGATCCGGACGACTATAGCGACCCTAGCGATAATAACGAGATACCTATACCTCGCGGAGACTATTAGTATCTATTGCGTAAGCGCTAGGCCTGCAAAGACAAGCTATATACTAATTATAGCGGACACTGTTAGGTTAATAGCAAACAGCGGTACGAGAACTACGTTAAAATTGGCCCTAATGTCCTTATTCGATAGGCTAAACTAATCCGGCTCGGTAGTAACAATCTACTTAATCCGGACGCTCTACGAGTAATAGTTAGACACCCTAGTAAGTCTCTAGCGTACATAATAATGCGGCAGAAGGCTAGAGCTAATGCTACAGCTACTAGCAATCCGAAGACTATAAAGGGTCGTAATTTAGTAGCTACTAGAAGCGTTATAATCTATAACTATCTCGCTTACGAGCCGCTATTAAAGAAGGCGCGTTTTATAGACAATAGGTCTAGTCTATCCAAATCAAGTACTATAGCTCTATCTAGTCCGATTAATAGTAAGCCTAACCGTCTAGTAACACCTTCGGACGTCTAATTAACCGTATTCTTCGACTAGTTAAAGTATTAATTATACGACGGTTAGAGCAGCCGTAAACCTAACTTAAGGGCAATCTACGACGTTCTAAAGGGCAAGGACTATAGCCTAGACCAACTAATAAAGGTAATATACTCTTAATAGCTAGAATAGGGTTTGAAGGACGGCTAGCATAGTCGGATAATGCATATATTACATAAGTATAATAGAAACGAGCGATAGCTATAGAAGGATCTGTTTTAGAACGCTGCCGGATAGATTGCTATAGGTCGATAGGGCGGTAGTATAGAGGTAGGATTTTGGACTTTCTTATTTATACTATATCTTAGCGAGTATTAGGTATTTTTGTATAGTATAAACGGGAGGTTCTTCGTTAGTATTAAGAGTATCGCAATATAATTAAAAATATACCGATAACCTTATATAGTAGTATTGTTCTAGGTACCTATCGTCGATAGTCGATCGCGGCTTCGCGCGTTAACCCCGGCATTCGTAGCCGCCGAGATTTCGGCCGAGACTTCTAGTAGAGTAGGTATTAGAAAGCCGCGAACTTCTAATATCTTAGTAGCGCTATATCTTTACTATAACTGTATATTTTTTAAAACGGACAATAGGAGGTTGTTTAGCGGCATCGATAGTATTATTTTCTACCGAAACGATAATATAGATATATTATTATAGTATTATAGTAATACCCTATTAGTCGTTATAGATTCGGGCTTCGTAAGCGGGTCCTCTCCGGATTGCGATACGATTACGATACGAATATAGCGACATACTAATAGCGCTAGCTTAAATAGCCTCGAGGTGCTACTAGCGATTAAAATAATTCTAAAACTACCAAATTCTAGGCTCTTCTATCGTAATAGCTACCCGTAGCGTATTAGAGGTATACCGATTAGGTATATCTATAGGTTTAACTAATTTCTCGAGTAGATTGCCGATAGTTAGGACGATAAGGAGATTGTTACTACGCCTATTTAACCTCTACGAGGCGTAGAAGGGCATATCGACACGTCTACTACATTACCGTCGTCAGCCAATTTAAGAAGCTTATCGCTATAGCTAGTATTGCCTAATCTATAGCATATAGAAGCGATTATAAAGGACTATACCGCTAATGTTACGCGTGCTATAGTAGCGGAAATAAGATAGGAAATAGAAGAGTTAAAAGGCCGTATTGCTAAGCTAGAGATAGTTGTTAGTCTAAGCGAGACTATAGTTAAATAAGTAACTATAGTTAGCTATATATTGTATAATAGTAATCTCTCTATCTTCTACCTTAATAGCGATAACCGCACTTCTAGAACTAGCCTACGGCGTACGCCTAGATACTATTACTATTAACTTCTTTAATCGCGCTCTTAACGAAGAAGCCGAAGTTCTCGTATACCGTAGCATTATCGATATTGTTCTTAATCTAACTCTTTAGACAACTAAACGAGATCTCGATTAGATTATAGTCGGGCGAGTATAGCGGCAAGTACTTAAGATTAACGCCTACGGCGGCGTAGATTGCCTTTATATAGTCGCTTCTATAAATAGCGGCATTGTCTATTACAATCTACTAACCTAGACTTAGTTGCAGCAGAACAGTAAACTCTAGCTAGTACTCGAAGATAGCAGCAGTAATAGCGCCTTAGACGACAATAGTGCCTTCGAGATAGCCGCGACTCGTAATCGCTAGTAGGACGCTCTATCGCTTTAAGCGCTTTATTAAGCTATTAAACTAATAAGGTAACCCTCGCAGTAACTATCCCTTCTTCCGCTAACTAGTACGCTTATTTAAGCTACTTTTATCGACATAATATACCTTGTTCGTATCCTTATCGACCTACTAGGCCTCGAAGTCGTTACGTAGCTCTTAGTTACGCTCCTTTGCAACCTAGATACCTACTTTCCTCGTCTATTTATTGCGCTTTAGTATACGAGAGATAAGCGACGGCGTAGCGACAATATCGTATTCGTCGTAAAGGAACTAGATAATCTCGTTCTAATATACGACTAGTCGATTTTCGAGGAACTCGAGAATACGCTATTATACGCGATTAGCTATAACTATCGACTCTGCTACTACGAATACGGACCTCTTCGTAGAACGGCTTTAGTAAGCGCTTCCTACCTAACCTGCTTAGATCGCGGATATAGGTGTAAGAAGGGTTATATTAGCAGGTAGATAGGGTAGTAGTAAATTAGTATAGTATTCGATAAGGATCTAGGAGGAGAGGGAGGAAGGCAGGAGAGTTAGCCTAACGCTAAGCGCTAAGCCCTACCTAAGGCATTAAGACTCTAGCTTCACTCGGCCTAGTTATATGCTAATTACGTATAGCCTCTTTAGCCCTAATATACGCTTCCCTTCTAAAGGCCGCGCCCTCGTAGCCTGTCTATATTCCAATCTCGACCTCTATTACTGCTAACTTAGCAAATCTAATAAGCTGCTTAGCCGCGCTAAATTAAACACTTAACTACCTAATTATATAACTATATTAAACCTTACCTTCTAACACAATGTCTAACTCTAACTGCGCTATCCTTATATATAATAATGTAAAGGGATATAAAGCTACAAGAATTAAGGGCTATCGACTAATTATAATACGGGCGCGTCTTCCCTACTATAATAGGTAGATATACGAGGTATTATAGCACTGCCTCCGTTCTAAGTGATATCGTTCTAAGTTCTTTGCGTCTACTCTAAAAGACCTAGCTATGTCCGCTTCCGAGGGTTGTTCTTATTATTACAAGGGATTGTTCTTATTATTACGAGGGCTATTATTTACTATCGTAGTTTCGCTAGCCCTAATTAGCTAGGTTTAGCAGCCTTCAAATGTTAATCTTATCTTGTCTTTTTGAAAAACACGGTTCTTCCGGTTTCTATAGGTAAAGGCTATTATAAGTATAGTAGTTAAGGTCCGCCTCGCTTAAAGGGTCGGAAAGATCGAGGAGTAACTTATTATCCGCAAGATCGACCCCGGCTAACTTAGCTCTATAGTTTTGCCCTTAGTTAGCTAGTTTATTAGTCGCTTAATCTTTTAAGCGGCTTAAAGTTTTAATTAAAGTTTTGATTAAACCTTTAATATAGCTATTCTTTTAACTTGATTAGTATAGCGCGCTTCTAGCCTTAGGCCGCAGTATAGGTAAGGTTACCTTCGCAAGTGTAGCGATAATAGTAGGTAATATTAATAATAACGGCGCTAGTCGTCTTAGCGCCGACTTTACCTTGCTTCTAATTTCCTCCTTCTACTAATAACAACTCGGCAACACTGTTACTAATATAGCCGCGCTAGCCGCGCCGTTACAAGCGCGACGCCGTCCTCGCCGATCGCCTAGGCCTCGAGGCCTAGACAGAATAAAGGAATAAGAGGGGGACCTATAGGGCTTAGTAGTAGAGAGGTAGATGTCTTTTAGAAGAGCGGGTAATCGATTAATACGTTATAGCGCGCTTGTTAATACTCGGTACGCGTTTACTATAGTAGTATAGTCTTATTGTCCTCGTTACTAACAATTACTTGTCTCTAATTAGTTAGCTAATAGCACCCTAGGGGTAGTATTATTCCTAGTCGATATTATAGGCCCTTAGCCTTCTTCTTGTCCTTTACACTAGTCTAATACTTATCTAATAACTTAGTTATATCTTTAAAAGAGTCTTTAGCCTTCTACGAGTCCTATTTAGGTAAATAGCCTTGCTATC